CAGAGCTGCAAAACCTCAGCTATCTTATTAGGTTTTAACTGATAAAAAAAAAAATCCCAGAGTTTCTCAACAGCCACACAAAAATGGGATTAGGCATACAGCGTTAATTTCAGCATTGCTGGGCTGCAGTAGAATCTCTGAGGGTAATTCATCTACACTGCTCAGACAGCTAAACAGATTATTTTAATTACAGTTATAAAACAAGTGGGCTGTGAATAACAATAATACAAATGTCTTGTAGACTGCAGACTGTGCCTCAACCTCCCTAATGCGGTTCCCTCCCCCTCCCATCTATAGGGACTGAGTGGGCTGCTGTGGCTATAGTTATGATACTACTTAAAATGTATCTATGGTCAAAAACTAAAAAGAAATATGTACTCTGCCTGGCCCAAATAAAAGTCTCACACACTAATATTTTGTTGGGCCATCTTTAGATTTGATTACGGCACACATTCGCCATTATTTCATTAAGCTAATGTAATGTCACAACATTAATTTCCGCCCAGAGTTGCATACATTTTTCACCAAGATCTTGTAGTGATGATGGGAGTGGCGGACCACTGCATAAAGACGTCTGCAGCACACGCCAAAGATTCTCAATGGGGTTAAGGTCTGGACTCTGTGTGGCCAATCAATATGTGAAAATTATGCCTTATGCTCCCTGAACCACTCTTTCACAATTGAAGCCCACTTCTAATAACCATACCAATGTAGAAGTTTGTAAGTCTACTTATTGAAGATTCCCATAGGCAGGGCCAGATTTGCGGCCCCAAGGCCGGGTTCCACAATACGCCCCCCTCCCCATGGAGAATGGCAACCAGATGGCAGGGCGGGGGGAAGTTTCAATTTTCTTTTTACTGTTTCTTTATTTTTATCACTTATTTACATTTTTATAGTTTTTATCTTATTATTGTTTCTTTTTTATAATTATTTTCTTATTTTTTCCTTTTTAAATCACCTTTTTATTTAATTATTTATTTAAATTTTTTTTTTTTAATCAGTCATTTTTTCCCCCACCTAACTTTATTGCTATCACACAGGAGATAACA